TTCCTGCTGGCAGCCAGCTCACGCCTGCCTCTTTGCTGGCAGGAACCACGCTTTCTGCTCTGGGCCCCATACACCGTCCTGGGAGTGCTCTCAGCATCCAGGCATCAGGCTGGGAGTGTCGTGGGACTGGTCAGGACTGGGGCCAAGCCCGAGGCCACATGCTCCCAGGGGACCCACGGGCTCTTCCACTGCCGCTTAGCAGGGGGATGCGGGACTGCAGGATGCTGCCGGTGATGTGGCTAGGGTGGGGCTAGGTCCCCCGCGGGCCCCCTGCCCCCGGAGCCGAGGGCAGCCAGTGGGGTCAGCCCAGGGATTAGCATCCCTGGAGGCAGATGTGAAGTGCAGCCAGAGCTGTTAGAGCTCCTTAAGGGAGGATTGAGTGCCATAAGTATCAGCCCCTCCTGATGGATCACAGCATGTGCCCTGGCCAAGATGCAGAGCTGGGAGCTGAGAACTGGCCTCCCCTATGGGCCAGAGTCCCCAGGATAGCTGGGGTGTGCAGGGTCCCCCATGGGTCTCTGCAGAGCTGCTGACCCTGCTTGGGGGAGCAGATGTCAAGGGGCTGAGTGGGATGGCTGCTGGAGATCTGGCTGTGCCCCAGAGCTCCAGCTCCCCTGGGAGGATGCACAGGAGTGGGCTCTGCCCCATGGGCCCCCTGCAGAGCCCTGGCTCTGTGGCAGGGGATGTGTGGGGCACCCATGGAGCACTCATGCGTACATTGCTCCCATGTCTATGGGAGCCCACAGGGGCCAGGCTCTGGACTCTGGCCCGCTCTCTGGGCTCCTCTCCATCACTCTGGGGGAGCTTGGTAGGACTGTGCACCCCTATTGCGGGGGGGGGGCCACCACCATGTGCCCTGCTTGGGGTGGGGGGACTGTGTGCCCTGTCCAGAAGGCACTGTGCATCTTGTCAGATAGTGTACCCTACTTGGGGAGGACCACGTGCCCTGCCCAGGAGGGCACACTATGTCTTATTTGAAGTGGGGGGACTATCCCCTAGCCAGGGGTGCGTGCTTCCCGGGGGAGAGGCAGACATGTCGGTCCGTGGCAGCAGGAGGAGGAGGAGCAGAAAGAGATGGAGGCAGGGCTGGCCACGGGAGCAGCTACTTTCTGATCACTTCCTGCCCAAGCCGGGCGGATTTCACAAGGGCTCTGTCCGCGCGGCCTCCCCACCTGCCACTCCGGTCCATGGCTGGCACCACCTCCATCGACGCTGTCAAGAAGAAGATCCAGAGCCTGCAGCAGGTGGCCGACGAGGCGGAGGAGCGCGCCAAGCACCTGCAGCGGGAGGTCGATGCCAAGCGGCAGGCCCGGGAGTGGGTAAGGAGCAGGGTGGAGCAGCAGCCGGGAGGCGTCCCAGCAGCTCCCCGGGATACCCCACCGGCTCCAGCAACGCCGCCAGCATCCTTCCCTGTGGGCTGGTCCCAGCCATCCCCCCCGCCCCGGTAGCCGGACTGGCTGCTCCCAGGACGGAGTTCTGCCAGGTCCCGGGAGTGCTGCCATCCACAGCCACGGCAGCGTCTCTGCCTCCGAGCTGCCTCCTCCAGCTGCCTCATTCACGGGCATGCGAAGGATGCCCCGTGCAGCGGGGCTCCACAGGACTTCCTCGGCTGGTGGGGCACAGGGAAGCAGTCAGCAGACAGCTCTAATTTGTTTCTGCTTGGGGCCAGGCAGATCCTGGGAAAGGATCCTCTGCCTTGGAGACAGCTGTATGTATGGCTAAAAATCCCACACCCAGGCCCTTGTCTGGTTTTCAGCAAGCTCTGCAGTCTGGGCCACAGCAGTCAGAGAGCTTTTGGCTCTCCCGTGTGTTCTTTTGTGGGGGACAAGCCACTCCTTTGCACTGCCATGGGCCAAAATTTCCACTCTGTGTCACTGGGACAGCATTTCTAGGCTGCAGCTTGTTTCTGGTTTGGCTATTTTATTGTTGGAGCTTGTGAATTCTTTTTTCCATCTTTCCTTTACCATCCTCACCATATCAGGGGCAGCAGAGCTGGGTGTGGTACCTGGGCTGTTGTCACTTGGGCTGTGTGCAGAGGAAATGGCCCCTTCCTGCAGCCACAGATCGGTTCGCCAATCAATGGGCCCTACTAGAGAGCTCATGTTCCTGAGTATCCATCCAGGCAGTGCTGACTCACTGGTGATAATTCTCTGGGAAAAAAGCTCCTGCCAGGATGAGGCAGATACCACAAGCAGAACATCACCTTGGTGGGGGCCAGCCCCAGCTCCCCATTGGGTGGTTTGGCCAGGGATGAGATCTCAGTGAGCCAAGAAAGAGGATGTTCATGGGGCGGAGGAAGCTGTTGTGCCAGCCATGGGGCTAGCCACCTACCCAGCACACTGCCAGGCTGCCCCACTTGGAGCAGTGCTGGCTGTGCCCGTCCCCACCCTACTGGTTTGCCACAGGGGACCACGGGTGCTCAGTGGGACGGTGCAGGGTGACAGCTTCTCGCTGCTCCCACAGCCCCCCTGCTTTGACCAATGTCCCCTAGTGCATTCCCTGTGCCGGGACCAGGTGCTGCAGCTGGCCAGGCCTGCTGCAGCCTGTGAATAAACAGGAGACATTATCCCCCAGGTTGGTACATGCCTCCCTGTGTCTTGGTGCATGGGACTGCTCCCCACGTCAAAGTCTAATTGCTGCTCATCCCTTTGCATCTGGGGTTTTAATTCCCTGCAGCCCTGCCCCAGTGGGGAGTGGAACCAGGAGCTGCTGAGGCAGTGTTTCCCAGTGGTGGTAATGGAGCAGGCAGAAGGCCTTTACCAAATGGAAAGAGCATGTGGCTAGGTGTCAAGGGGCTGCTGGGGGCCAGGGCCACTGCTCCCAGCTGGCCCTGGCTCCTGGCCGCGTGCACGGGAAGCCTGGGGAAAGCAGGGAGCCTGGGCCCTGGCAGCTGCAGCTTGGCCAGGCTCCAGCCTACTGAGGGCAACATGCTCCATTGCCCCCAGTGCTGTGCTGTACTTCAGCTGGGGGGAGGGAGCACAGGTTCCCATGGTTCAGGTTGCCCTGTTGTACAGGGCCAGGGATCCCTGCAGAAGAGGTTCCCAGCTTGATCTGCTACCTCTGTAAATGGGAAATCCACAAGCAGCTTCAATTTCCTTTTTTGGGAGCAAAGCTGCACAGGGCATTCCTCCCCCTTTACTCACTGCTCCACAAACTCCAAATACCATCCCTGAGACAGCATGGCCACTCTGGCCACCCTACCCTGGTTAATGTGACTTGTCCCTCTCCAAGGTGGGAGCTGAAGGTTGTAAGGACACAAGTGGAGGGGCTACACATGCCAGGCTCAGGTTGCATGGCCAGGAGGAGCCAGCATCAAACAGAGCACTAGGGATGGAGGGAGTCCTATTGTCCCTATAGAAAGGTGACGGGATGCATGCCCCAGCTGAGCTTGTTGCACAGTGCCAAGGGGTGTTCTGGATAGCAAATGCAAAAGTAACTGCCAAAACCACTTTTTATATAGAGACATATGCCACATAGAGTGACCAAAGGCTTTCTGCTGCCCTAGGCTGAGGCTGAAGTGGCTTCCCTGAACCGCCGTATCCAGCTGGTGGAGGAGGAGCTAGACCGAGCCCAGGAGCGCCTGGCCACTGCCCTGCAGAAGCTGGAGGAGACTGAGAAAACAGCTGATGAGAGCGAGAGGTGCAATGGAGAGGGACAGCGAGGATGGCATTGGGTCACCCTTAATTGCAGACAGCCCCCCTGTTTTTACAGTGAGGTTTGCGGATCCCCCTGAAGCGATCTTATGGGATTTGTGTTAGTTTTCCTGAAAAAAGAGCAAAACCATGATGCAGAGAAGTCCTTAAGATATGGATGTTCTTGTCATGCTTTGAAATTTCAGGGCACCCATAAAATCCTGAAAAATTTGATCTGATGCTTATACAAATATCAGTTTGTAATCAAAGCCAGAGGGTACTTGGAGCCTGTTTTCTGCCCTAGAGCAGACTCCTCTTGAGAGCTGAGCAACAGCCCAGGAGGGGACTTCTGCACCTGGGAAGTGTGGTTGACCTTTGAGAACAAACCAGCCTCATTCAAAAAAAAGTCCTGCAGAACGTGTTTCCTCATCGTCATGGCAAGCAGGTTTACCAGGCAGGAGCCATGCAGGCAAGGGCACTCAGGTTGTATGAGAATGCTTGGACATGGCTTCTGCTGACCACTTGACCAACATAAAATGATATTATCATGAACAGACAGACCAGCAGTCAAACTTCTCCCTCTGCTACCACATCACACCCCAGAGATCCGAAGTGGGCGGAACAAGTCAATGCACTCACTCACTGCAAAGAATGTGAAGAAGGGAGTGAGCTGGCCAAGGAACCATGCCATGGGAGAGGGAACCAGCCAGATAATGAGTCCAATTATGTAGAAATTTCCCAAAGTCTCATTTTTCTTCCCGCCACCCTGTGAACTCAAATTGCTATGTACAATCAGGGAGCCCTTTCAATAAGCAGAATCCCCACACAACACATGCACTGTGAAAACAAACCTCCCAACTCCACTGCAAGCAGAGTCAGTTCTTATAGAGGTGGCTTCTTGCCCCACCTCCAAGTTCATGTGGAAGGTGGGGGCACCTGGTGGTGATCTCCTAATCAGTTCCCACCCAAGTTTGGCCAGACCCTGGGTGAAAACCAATCAGGAGGGTCTTTCTTGCCTGGTTGTGGACATCATCCATATGCTGTCATTCAAGGTTGGGGGTTTAACCCCAGCACTTCAACATGTCACAGCATTCCTAACAGTTACACGAGCTCTTCCCTCCATTGGCAAAGACCAGTTTGAGCAACAGCATCTGAGCAAGAGAAGAGTCTGCGGGAGTCCCTGCCATGGGGGTTCAGTGACCCCCTGCTTGTGAGGGTCACCCCGGAATGGGAAAATGCTTTGCCATGGGATGTTTTCTAGCGTTTCCTAAAATTTGCTGGCCTGTCAGGCTGCTTTTGTGGAGGTTGCAGCCAGTTCATCCTGGGTTGCACACATTTTAACCTCCCCAGACAATGGGCTCAGGACCTGCCTGGTTGAGAGGCACTGTGGCCATATATTGCTCTGGGGGACAGACCTGGGGTGGCCTTGGGGTCAGCTCCACTGCTCAGTAGCATCCCTAGGGTACCACTGGTGTGACCCTACCATGTGAGGTGATCAACTTGTGCCAGTGTCCCAAGTCTTCAGCGCTGGAGGATGTCAAGGTCAGGGCACAGTGGGTAGGTGGGAGGTGCAGCTGCTACCTCAAACCACAGCAGTAACATCTTTTGGCTTGGGCTTTCCTCAGAGGCATGAAGGTCATTGAAAACAGGGCCATGAAGGACGAGGAGAAGATGGAGCTCCAGGAGATGCAGCTGAAGGAGGCAAAGCACATAGCAGAGGAGGCTGACCGCAAATACGAGGAGGTGTGTGTCTGCACTCACATATCCCTTCCCCCAGTGCTGATCCCCCTGGTGGCACCTGGGGTTGCCTTTCCACAGCCCTGTGCACTGAGCCAGGGCAAGCACAGAGCTGATGTGCGCTCCTTGCTGCCGTTGATAGGTTGCCCACAAGCTGGCTGTCCTTGAGGGAGAACTGGAGCGCTCAGAGGAGAGGGCAGAGGTGGCAGAGAGGTGAGTGAGGCTCCCAGCGGACAGTGTGCAGTGGTCCCATGCAGCTGGGAGGGGCTGTGTGTCCACATGGGGCTGGAGATACCTCTCCTCAGGAGCAGCAGAGTCTGCTGTCGGAGTGGTCCCTGGGCTCACAGGCTGGGGGCAGGGGGATGCCAGCCTGTTAGCAGCATGTCCTTGACCCTGTTCTCTGCTGTCCCCCCCCGGGGTGCCACTCTTCCACCCCAGCCGAGTGAGACAATTGGAAGAAGAACTGCGGACTATGGACCAGACTCTCAAATCCCTCATTGCCTCAGAGGAAGAGGTACTGGGTCAGGGGCACAGGGCAAAGCACAGAAGCCCCCCTCTCTCTGTCGCTGTCTCTTGAACCGTGAGAGCCACTTCTTTCCTCTCTACACTGCTACCTCTGCCACCGACCTCCCCTTGCCTCCCTCTCTGGCAGGCTCAGGCTAGGCATGCTCCTCTATCCCTCCATGCCTACTTTCCTCAGTAGGGTTGGTGGGAACCTGGATGGCAGCGATGCACAAGGCATCCTTGTGAGGAGGCATGAGAAATGGGTCAAGAGATGTGCCCCAGCAGCTTCTGCTTGCAGTGGCTCTGCTCCTTCTCTGCCTGTGCTGCCTGAATTTTCTCTCTCAACTTTTCTCTCTTTCTTTCCTCCTTCCCCATGCCTGCTCTTTCTGCTCTCCCTACTCACCTGCCCCTTGACCCCGCTCCCCTGCCTGGTGTCCCTTGATTGGGATGTAGTAAATGTGGTGACCTAGAAGAAGAGCTGAAAATTGTCACCAACAACTTGAGGTCCCTGGAAGCCCAGGCTGACAAGGTAGGACCCAGCAGGGCTACTGGGGCTGGGCAGAATGCATGAGATCTGGGGGTGCTGGAGTCCCCCACTAGGGCAAAGGATAGCCAGAGGTGTCTTGTGGGGCTTATGAGTGCCCATCTCTGTCTCTGCAGTATTCCACCAAGGAGGACAAGTACGAGGAGGAAATCAAACTTCTAGGGGAAAAACTGAAGGAGGTAAGGGGTGTGGTGCCAGGACCCCCAAGAGGGGCTGTCACTGCATTAGTGCAGGCACAAGTTTGCCATCCCATGTGGTTTTTGACCCTGTTATATTTGTGTCCTCTCACCCTTCCTCAAATTATAACCCTGCAGTATGGCAGGTGGCTGGTTCTGGGATGCCCCTGTGGGGTCCTGCTACCCCAGAGAGGGTCCCTGTCCCATCTGGAGGGCTTGTGTTTGCATCCCCAGGAAGCACAGCCCTGCTGGGGTGCATCATGCAGCCCCATGCTATGCTCTGCTCCTGCTCCGCTTACCTCTGCCCCATGTGGTGTTCTGCTCCCAGGACATGTGCTGGGACTTGTGCCTTGCACACACCAACTTCAAGCCATATCTGATTTGGCTTGATCTGTCTAGTGTTGGTTGCACACACAACCTGTGAAGCGTGTGGGCTCCCATGACGCCTCTGCTTTTGGTGGTCAGGACAGGTTGGGATAAATGGGAAGCCCAACATGGAGACACTTTGCCCAGCTGTCTGTTTTGAGGGCAAGCTCTCACCCCTGCTGCTGGTTTAGGATGTGGGGGTCCATGGGGCCCTTGTCTTTCCTAGGGGAGGGCTCATGGGGAGTGGATCCAGGAGATGCAGACGGTGTAGGTTTCGGGTGCAGTGCAGCCCGTGCCATCCCCATTGTGCCTTGCAGCTCACTCTCTCCCTCCTGCACTCCCACAGGCTGAGACCCGGGCAGAGTTTGCAGAGCGGTCTGTGGTGAAGTTGGAAAAAACCATTGATGACCTAGAAGGTAAAATGTCCTCACCAGCCCCACGTCCCTCTTTCCTGGGGAGCACTGGCCAGGATGTGCCCCCAATGGGGCTGAACAGGGCTTGGCTGAGGTGAGAGGGTGGCCAGAGGTCCTGGGAGGGGGGAGGCTGTATGCCATGGTGTCTGGTGTGGGGGCACAGAGCTGCTGGGGTCTGCAGATCTGCCCTCAGGTGGGGAATAGGGCCACATCCATGCTGCTTGTGCCCACACAGTCCTGCTGCCCTCAGCCCCCTGCTCACAGACACTTTCTCTACTGCCTGCCCCCCAACCTTGCTCCACCACCTGTTCCCCCCACCCACCCCCTGCCTGCAGATGAAGTATATGCACAGAAGATTAAGTACAAAGCCATCAGCAAGAAGCTGGACAATGCGTTTAACGACATCATTTCTCTCTGAGCCCCTCACTGGGCACCAGCATTGCACCCCCCTGCCTGCCTCGCCTCTCCCCAGCTCAGCCACTTACCTGCCTGGCCATCCCACTGCTTTCCCTGCCTGCTCTGTCCCTTCTGTCCTTCCCAGCCCATGCCTGTCTGTCAGCTCCTTTGGGACAGGAGCTGGCCCAAGGTGTTCCCACAATACCCCTCTTTGTGGGAAGACAAGTTGTAGGTGCTTAGGGGTGTTTGGCAAGGAAGGGGAACAGCCCCCAGGATCCCCACACTCTGGGTGGATGGAGCCCACACAGTTGCATGTCCATGCCCCAGCATTGCCTGGCAAGGAACAGAGCTGTGCCTAAGAGTCCTTTGCTTTAGTATCTCCCTCCTTGTCTCCCTGGCAGCACAAGTACCAGGGACCCCCCACATCCTCTCAGCAAAGCCCCCTGGTTCTGCTTGCTGAGCCCAGGGCCAAGGGGACCCGCACAGGGAAAACAGTATCTCCAGTACCAAAACAAAGAGGAGGGCTTAGGCCCAGGGGATGGAGGAGGGGGTCTGGGTGTTCAGGCAGCCCATCCTCAGGCAGGTAGCCCCCAGACCCTCACTCCTCCCTCACCCCTGCCTCCCTTCTGTCCTTTGCACATCACTCTTCAGTTTGCATTTCATTACTTTTTCTTTTCTGTTCCACCCCTCTGGGTTACCAAGTTGGTCTCAATAAAGTGTTTTCTCTCCTCTGTTTCTCCTTTGTTTTCTTCATGCTTCTCTGTCTTTCATCTTCTGCCTGTCTCACGTGGGTGCCAGCAACCAGGTGGTAGGAGGTGGCTGTGGGCAGCTCAAAGCTGTGAGACCCCTGGGATGGCTGTGGCTGAGCCCTGAACAGCCAGGCTGAGCAGGATGGGGCCCTTTGTGCCTCTGTCCAGGGGATGACCCCCACCACCACTCAGCTCTTGGACACAGCTTTCCTCATCTTGTGCCACCTTTTCCATGACTCTTTTGGCCTGAAATACCAGGGTTAGATCTGGTCCTGTCCATTCTCTGTCCCTACTCCCAGATATTGCCCACAAGCAGCAGTCTCAGCCCTGGCATATCTCCTGTATCACCCTCCCATCCCAAAGAGACTGATCCTACCCTTCAGCAGCAATCCCTGGCCCTAAACAGGTCCCTGATCCTCATCCTTCTTCTTCCTCAGCATCCTACCCTGCCCCATAACTCTGTCCCTGAACTGATAGACCTGTGGCCCCATTCCTGCCCCAGGACTGGCTGCCTCTTCCTTCTGGGCCAGCTTGTTCCCTACTGCTGGCTGGGTAGCAAGGTTTCCAGCGAGGACTTTGAGGAATTCTGTCTCTTTTCACTAACTCGCCTTTCTCTGTCTCTTCCCTCTGATGTGCTGATGTCTGTTTTCTCTAGAGCATTCCCAGCAGGAGGCTGAGAAAAACATGCATTCTCACTAACAAGCTGCAGGTCATCCTTACTGAACTTAACTGCCAAGAACTCCTGGTCCCAACCCAGCCTCCTGCACCTGGGCTGCCACCAGCCTCACTCCCTGCCTTGTTTCATCCAGGATGGCTCAGGACTGGGAACCTCCCTCTACTCCCCACTGGGGTTAGGTGGTGTGTGGAGCCTTGGCTTATCTACCCAGGGGTAACCACCCTGCTTGGGGGGGGAGACAGGGAGCCCTCTGGAGCTGATAGCTTTTTCTTGGGAGAGGAACAAGGGGTTTCACAATGTTCTGGGATGCCCACACAGTGATGGCTGTCACTTGGCATCAGTCTGGCCCTATGGGGGAGGGATGCAGTGGATCGTATTGCTGCATTCCTCCCCTTGTCCTAGAAGTCAATGGCCAACCTCTTCCCCCTCTGGTAACCCCAAACTATGCAGGGAGGACCCCCTTGGAGTGGGGTCTCTGCAGGGTGCTGGGAGGCCTGGGACAGGAGCTGGGGATGTGGAAGCACCTGCTGCCCCAAACCTGGGTTGGGGAATGGGGAAGAAAGCACCTGGTTGGGAGCACTAGGAGATGGGGCTGGGTGGGCAGAGCTCTCATCCCATCCCCACCTCTAGAGGGATGGAGGATGCTGTTTGGAAGTGAATGCTGGAAGAGGCTGCCTTGGCTGCCCAGCAGAGCTCATCCCTGCAGCCTTGCTACCTCTGCTCCTTCTTTTTGCTGTCTTCTCTGCCTGCCTTCCTCGGCTGCTCTTTCACTCTTCATGGAGCACCACTGGGTCATGTAGTGGGTACTGGCTCTCCTTTTGCCAGCTAAGGGTTTGTGTGTGAGCCCACATCTAGACAGTGGCGATGGCCCAGGGCAGGATGTGCTGTGGGCAGAACAGGGAGACAAGCCTGCTGGTGGCTGGCTATGGAGGGGTACCCATCAGCAGTATCCATGCTGTGGAGGGCCTGGCCCTGGGCAATAGAGCGCCATGGGAGGATGGAAATGCTGAAGAGTGGGGACTGCCCACCATGAATGACTGTCCTGGCTGGTCTGGCCACTTTGGCAGATCCCACAGTAGCTAGCCTCATTCCGGCTGGTGGGGCTGCTTGTATGGACTCTGCTCTGCAGGGACATCCCACACAGCGGCTGGTTCTGTACTGAAGTGTCTTTCTGCATGTGTGTCTGTGCTTGGTGTGGTATGTGTGGGTCTGGCTGCACCTGGGTATGCTTGGGCTGTGTCCATGTGTATGGCTGGCTGTGTGTCCCTTTTGTTCACAGAGAGTCTGGCCAGTGCCAAAGAGGAGAATGTGGGCATCCACCAGGTCCTGGACCAGACCTTGTTGGAGCTTAACAACCTCTGAGCTACTCTGGGGAGCCTCTGTCCCTCTTCCCTACCCCACACGTGCACCCTACTGGCACACTCAGGATGTCATCAGCTGAACTGCATCTTGGCTACATCCACACACCCATTGAGAAGGAAAGCCCTGCAGCTTTACGCTGTGGCTCAGGGGTGTCTTGTCTGTGCACAGCCTGACTGGCTCTGTCCTGTATTCATGTCTAAATATTAAAGCAGTTTGACAAGATGGACGGGTGTGCTTGGTCCTTGTGGGCGGACACAGGCACGGGGAGACATAGGGGTCTCCCTGCCCAGTTTGCACAGGAGGCTCTGCAGGGTCTCGGGTCTAGGGCGGGTATGGCAAGTGTAATCAGGTCTCCAGCCATGGACCCTGGGACCAATAATGGGCACAGTTTGGGCTGCATCCCCTTGTCTCCCATCATTTCCTTGGAGTGCACAGAAAACCTCCAAGTCTCAAGCTCTGTCCAAATTGATCATCTTCTTCAAGTGCACAGTGATAGAGATATGTCACTGGTGTGTCCTCTTCCACAGCTGGCATGTTACCTGCCTGTCACTTGGGGAAGCCACAAGGTCTCTGATCTCTTCATGGAGTCTGCTTCATGGTTCACGTTCATGATGCCATCTGTGTGACCATGTCTTTTGCTGACTGTTTGCCCAACTAAGAAGGTATTATCAATAGGCAAACCACCAGCCAAAGTCCTCCCTCCACTCCTAAGTCATACACCAACAATCCAACATGCCAGACCACTGGAGGGAGAAATAAGTCAATATATTCACTAACAGCACAAGGTGCGCAGAAGGGAGCGAGCTGACTCTGGAACCATGCCATGGGAGATGGAAGGACCCAGGTGATCAGTCCAATCCCAATCATATAGTAACTGCCAGGAAAGAGACTCATCATCTTGCCCCACCATCCTGAGAGCTCCACTTGCTATGAAGAGTCAGGAAGCCCTTTCAACAAGCAGAATCCCCACACAGCACACGCACCATGTAGACAAACCCCCACCAACTCCACTGCAAGCAGAGTCAGTTCTTATAGAGGTGGCTTCTTGCCCCACCTCCAAGTTCATGTGGAAGGTGGGGGCACCTGGTGGTGATCTCCTAATCAGTTCCCACCCAAGTTTGGCCAGACCCTGGGTGAAAACCAATCAGGAGGGTCTTTCTTGCCTGGTTGTGGACATCATCCATATGCTGTCATTCAAGGCTGGGGGTTTAACCTCAACACTTTATTTGATCCTTTGGCCATGGATAAGCACAACCCTCACACTAGCACCATCTGCAAAAACATCACTCTCCACCTCGCATTTCCAGGACACAGGGATACACTGGCTTGACTGAGGTCCAAAGCTGGTTCCATCTACTCAGCACAGTACGATACCACTATCGGACCCATCGTCACATTTCAGATCCTCATCACACTGCCCATCGATGTACACTAAGTCAGATTCAGCACACATCCTCCTTGTGTAGACACTTCTGACACTGCCATCACCATCATATCTCCATAGTAAGAACGCAGAGTGTCCATCCTTACACAGATATTGAGATTCTTCACACGTCATCCTCGCACTCTCAGCCGCTCCCAACGGGGTTGTTAAAAGCTGTATCTGCAAATTGGGCGTAGTCATGCACATCAAGGGACTCTCCATCTCCCCAATGGGTCTATTGTTGAGAGTATGTAAAGCATCTGTGACATGAGTTCTATATCTAGACAGGTTTCTATCTCCTAGCTTCCTTAACTGCTCCTTTAATAGCCCATCCATCCATTCAATCAATCCCACAGATCCTTGGTCCTGGGCTAAAGGTCCAATGTAGTCCATCTGCCAGATTTGTCCTGGCAATTTCCATCTCCCCAGTTCTCCTTTCCTGTCCTTGGAATTTCTTCATTTTTTCCATAAATTAAAGAGGCCTATGCTTCAATATCAAGTAAGGATTTTACTATTTGTGAGAACTGTTTTTTCCAAAATATTTGCAGCTCCACGTGGGGTTATCGGTCCTCCCGTGCCTAATGTACCAGAGCTTGGCCACCACTGCAATTGGAGTTGTGATGTCACATTATTTCACAGAATCACAGAATGTT